GGCCGAGCAATTCCACGGGCGCGCGGAATCGCGCACTTTCGCATGGCGGAGATAAAGTTTACGCGATACTTACTTTTATGGTTTGCGCCCGGCGCACCGTGCCGCACCGTAGCGTTTTGCTTTCGGTCGACGACGGTTTAGGCCGAAGGCATTTCCAGTCGAGCTAACTGCGAAACTCTTCTTTCCCGACGCGTCGCGTGGTCGTTTTTGGCGTAGCCGCTCGCGGGAATGGTTTCGAGAGCGACCGTGCTGATCGCGAGTAGACCATTGTTCGGGTTGTTGCTCGTTTCGCGCGGCGATTTCGTTAGTAAATATCTGGGCATCTAGGCATTTAGATATCTAAACATCTAGGCACCTAGACAACTAAACAACTAGACAACTAGACAACTAGGCATCTAGACATCTAGGTATCCAGATATTTAGATATCTAGGCATCTAGTCATTTAGATATCCAGACATCTTGAACACCTAAACGCCCAAATATCTTGGCATCTAGATAGCTAGGCACTTAAAGAACTAGGTATATAGACAACTAGGCATCTAGATAACTAGGTACCTAAACAACTAGATATATAGATAACTAGGCATCTAGGCATTTATAAGCATTTTGACACCTAAACGACTAGGTATCTAAACATCAAGATTACCCAGGTACCAAGGCAACCAGGTATATATACAATTAGGTATCTAGACATCTAGGCATTTACACATCCATGTATCTAGACATTTAGGAAGCCAGACTCGATATTCGACACTACCATGTCGGCTAAAATATTCAAATTTAAGAACAATCGATATCATCAATCTAGAAAATTAAAGCTAATAAAAACGTACTAAGAAATCTGCAAAGATTATTGTAGATTCAACGATTTTCCAACCTAGCAAGATATAATTCCTGATCATTTTTAATCCGTTATGATTCATAACTCCAGAATGATTTCTTAGCAACTAGGTAAATTACTGTTACTCCATCGTTAATAAACCTTCCAGAAAAATGTATGATCTGCGTTTATCGCAAATCTACGGAATCCCATTTTAATTTTGAATGACTCGAATAACATCAACGTTCATTAGAATCCGCTTGAAATCTTTATAAAGAATCCAACTAGACATTACGAGGAAAGAGGTTAATGGCACGACGATCAGCCGGATTGATTCGTGACTCCGTGATCAGTCAAGGAACGGACAGCAACGCCCGCATTTCCCAGTCGAGAGAGTTTTATTCGACGATAACCCGAGCCACGGAATTCCGCGTCGTATTATAATAGCCCGTTCGTCCGGCGCGGCGCGCGTTTCTATCGATCCGACACGGTCGACGAACGCCGGCGTAAATCCCAAGAAAATAACGACGGACCAGAGAACAATCGATCCGGGAGATATCGGTTTCCTTGAGGCAAACTCCTGGAAGATCGATCGACGGACAATAACCGTGCGACACGGTCGCCCCCGCTTCCGCGACCGAATATTCCGCGCGACCGACACGCGACCGCTGTTTTCTCCGCTAACACGGGGAACTTTCGAATATGCAAATTTCCGCGTTCGCTTAGTTTCGATTCTCATTACGCAACGTTATTGAAGATTCGGCATTTGACTAATTGTTCGGTGAAATTTGAAACAAATAACGGTCTCGACTTTTGCCGAGCGATTCCCTTTCGACTGTCTTGTGTTGTAAACGTTGGCAATTTCAGAAAAAAATGCTGAATACACAGCAAAAATTATTGTCAAACTACAGACTTTTGAAAGAATTTAAATTGATTTGAACTTTAAAGAATTCGAACAATCCAGTGTCGTAATGCAAACTTTGTAAGTCGCAGTGAAATCGAATGTTCCTCTGATTTATACATTTTCTTTGTATTTAAGGAGTACCATAGTTACATTAATTAAATTTCATTAAATGCAACATAGTTATATACTTAACTACTCATCAGATTAGATCGTTGAAGGTAAACATAAGAGGCATAAATATAAGGAAATGTAATTCGTTGGAATGTAATAAGTAGATGTTACTTTTTATAAAATTTCCTTCGAATCCGGAAACCGACAGTGGTGCATCAGCGCGGTTCGTCCCGCGAAAGAGATATCGTTTCACCGTCCATGGGCGATAGCGCGGCACGGAATCGGCGTTCGTTTTACCGCGTTCCCATGAACCACGATAGATTAACTCCTCCGACATGCCGCTCGCAAAATCGTTGCCGGTTCGCGCTTCGCGCCGTCTACTTTTACTTCGTGAATATCTGCGTCGCCGATACGGCTCGGCCGTTCCTGACGTCGCTACGGGAATCCGTGTAAATTCCACCGGACCCGTGAGAAACTCTCTCTGTCCGTTAACGAGGACGATTAGCGACACTCGTCCCGTCCGAGTATCTGTTTAGTCTGCCGCGGAGCACGTGTTCCACATCTCCCGAAAAGAAAAAGTGAAATGGACCCCTTACCTTGGAACTTCTTTCACGACTGTCCTCTTTCGAGATGTGTTATCTTGAAAACTTAATTAGGAATGAAGCCGTTGCGTTTTCTATGTTTTCTATTCCTAACCATTGAACCACTCCTTTTTGTACAGATTAAATCAGGGACAGATGATATTTAGTTTCAACTTGGAAAAAAAAGATAATACGTTGCTGTATTATACTATAGAATATTTATGGCAAGATTGTATGCACATTCCACGTGTTAACACTTCACCACATATTCTATCTAATGCAATTATGTTTCTTCTTATTCTATTTACTGCTATCGCCCCCGCTTATTTGACTGCTTAAGCTCGGTGCCTCGGAAACGGCTGATAAAAATGAACTAGACCAAGATAGCCAAATAATGCTAATTAAGAGCAACCCGACAATTTTATCTTTTCTTGACACATTTTAACCTTAATTTTATCGCTTCTACTACCTCTACTCTATTATTATATATATATATATTATATACTTGTACATATTGAGATGTTTTATTTGTACGCTTTTTACTAAATAAATACCAACCCTGGCCGTATTGGCGTACTGATGTACCTACCCCTGGTCGAGCAATGTAAGAACAGGGGAACATGTTTTGAAAATAAACGCCTTTACTATACAATATTTATTACATAGAAATATTGTACTATACTATATTATGTAATATGTTATTGTATTCACTTTCAAAACTTCACGAGTTCTATTCGATTTCACAAGGCAAGAAACGATAAGGAATAGAAACGATACTATTCCTCGAATAAAAAAAAAACACATCGTCCACTAGTGGATTGAACATTTCAGGCTCCACGTTCGTGGAAACATAAAATTCGATAGAAGAAGCATGCTCGATTACACCGATGCTCGATCGAACCCCGAGACCGTTCAACGGCAATTTTATCTCTAATAGCGGGAGAAGTTCGGCCGTGAAAATTAATGACGCGCCTTGCGCGGCGTGTTATAGCACATTAATTATTTAGAGCGTTTGTCTGCGACTCGAAAGGAGATCGTTTAATCCGCTTTCGAGCTACATGTAAAACGGATCCGTGGGTGTCGGTGAATATGTAAAGCATGTACCTATCGAAAATATTTCATGATTTACTGCTCGAGCTCGCAGAGGCAACGAAAACAAAAGTCCGAGCACGGTCCATTGTATCGTGATCCTGGAATCCGTCGTTTGCACAGGCTCTACGTGTATTAGCCGCAATTATTCGATTCTCGAGCGTTTACCAATTATCCAATCTGATGAAACGGAGATGATAATCAATGAGTCAGAGAATTGTTCTTTTTTTCTCGTCAATGGAACAATTAACCGTAGAAATTTAATCGCGAATTCCTTTCGATTATCTTGCTTATTCTTTATCTTTGCTCTCATAAAAGAAGCAACCAACGTTTGAAATAAAATTCCATTTACTCTTTTATCTTACTTGGAAAATAAAGGCTACACAAAAATTTAGAAATTTGGAAAAAGAAGTCGGTCGACGTTTCCAATTATAATTACGTTAGCACTCAATGAAAGGGGAAGCGAGCAGCTTCCTTTCAAACGTCTTCACCACTATCGCGTCTTAATCCGCCCTAATCCGTAGACGACGCGCGCAAAGCTCGGACCATGTGCCACGGATAATGGTGTATCTCGGTACGATCCTATTCAACCCCGAAGAGACAAAAAGCGCACCGAAATGTCCCGCATAAGAGGAGCCGAAAGAAGGGGACGAGTTGCAAAGCATCGAAGGGAGAAAATGGCCGGGAGGCGCGGCAGCCGCACGCTCGCCCTTGAATATTTTACAATCTCTTTTGACGAGGGAAAGTGCATTCCCACGAAGAACGAGGGCCCTTGGTTACGGCATTACCGTCTCCAGCACGACTTTTCGACTCGAACGAGCTCCCGTGGCGCGAGATCTCGTAGATGGTAGTACATCCGATTAGATTAGATAACAGCGACTCGCGAGATGGAAAGCGATTTTTGTTCCTCCCATATTTTTCAACCGGGCAATGGAAAGCTTCGTTAAACGATAAGCGTACCGTAACGCTAATTGCGAGGCTCGATAACGCATTGCGAAGCTCCGCGATCGCTTTTGTCACAGATTAGATAACACTCGACCTCCCTACTCTTTGAGAGTGCAGCGCAAACAGTAGAACCACTGGTCGCTTTCGCGGGTAAATAATGACCTTCTGTGTAGCTTGGATTGTTATTCTTCATTTTTATTACCGTTTACTGTAGATGCATTGAAATATTGGAGTTTGAACAGATTGTTCTCCGATTGGAACGAAATTAACAGTGGCTGAGTTTGTGTAATTTAAAGTTTCCATTAGTTCGCCCTGATATTATAAAACAAAATATAAAAATATATTCGTTTATCTTTATAAATCTATACAAGGGTCGAACTTAAATTAGAAAGTAACGAATAAAAGTACAGCAGTCAAGATTCTAGAAATGCGATCGAAGATCTCAAAATAAGGTGATCCTAAATAGGGATCATAAATTATTGCATGCAAAATATTGGTAGAACCCAGGGACACAGCAAAAGGGTATAAAATATGACTAAGAGGTGTTACCTTGTGATTCCGCGGTGTCCTCGAAAGATTGCTGCGGCCGTTGATGAGGACGTTGTCGTTGAAGAAGGACACGTCGCAGGGCGAGGGTGGTCCGCCAGCGAGTTCCCAATCGGCGTCGTCGGTCGTCGACGCGTCCAACGTTGCGTCCAACACTATAATGCCACCGTCGCCGACCTGCGGGCCAACAAGAAAAGAACACCGTGAGCTCTCGGAATCGGAACGGTTATGCGTGGAATCCGGCGTGATGACTTTCGAGTCTCGTCGACCGAGTTCCAAGGAAACGCGTGAGTAAACCACGGTCGCGCACTCATGTCTTTGTTGCTTCTCGATCGCTCTCGTAGATCCCCCAAAAATTCAATGCCAACAGAAGATCGACGCCATTAATGTATTAACTGAGCAATTTGTATTTATCAGATTATTCATAAAATTGAGATAATCTTTTAGCGAAGCAGGAACAAAGGAGTCAAGATTTTATACATGGATCGTTCGCTTGATCTTCCTGTTCTCAATAAATGTAATCAAATTTAATTTCTTCGGTGTGCCACCGAAAAAATAACGTACAAAGCTCTACTTTATTGAAATTTTAGTTTAGATGCTTAAATATGGACTGAAGTTCGAAAATGAAATGAAAGTGAAACGATCTTGAAACCTTTGTTCACTGATTCGCATCGATTTTTATTACGTCATCGAGTGATTCTTTCTATTTCTAATTTCTATCGCACTCGGTAGATTTGTCATTCGAAAGAGGAAAGTGCTATTAATGAAACTGTTGGAGACAGTGAAATACCGATCGCAAAATCGGCGTCAACGCGTCAAACGCGAGCCCGTGTTCATTGACGCGAAGCCCTCCTCCGATCGTCTCCGTTTTCTAAGAAGATTTCACGCGCGCGCGTTCGCACGGTTATTCGCGCGTGAAACGCGTTCGCGCGTGTCGCATTCCATACGAATAGAAACCTCATCGCCGCCGAGGAACAGAGATAATAATAAAAATGGGAAGTGCACCGGGTAAATATAGAAACACACCGCATTAACGGAGAAAAAACGAAGGCGCATTGAAAGCCGAGGGAAAAAACGGTAATGGTATCGATTGAAGTTACACTCCATTGATCCTGCAAAAATGCGAAGCTATTACGTTTGCGCCGAAGTACGCTCGGTTAGTGCATGCTAACGAAGAAACCGAGTTTCAGGCTTGCTCGCCGAGGGAAAGATTTCTTTGACGGTATTCCTGACAATGAAAGATAATCAATGATTACTCGTGCAACGCAGTCTTTGTTTCTTCTGAACATTAAATCTGAGAGAAAGCTGCTGAAATAGTAATAATATACCTGTGATCTACGTTTTACCGGTGCTCTTCGAATTAACCATTGTTAGCCGCACTAATTTAAGTAATCAGAAACAATAGTGTTAATTTACGAAAGCTAAGAACCATGAAGAATCGGTAGATATTTAACAAAAATATTCATTGTTTTCAGTATTAAAAGTATTGGCAATAAATAGACCGCGAATGGTTATGAAAAATCAAATATTTAAGAACCTAATCGGAAGAATGGGGTTGCCATAGAAAAAGGATCCTCTACCAAATAGTACAAATAGGAATGCACTTACAATATTTTATATATCTTTTCGTGTGCATCTCGTTCAAGTTCCCCCATAAATGCATCAAAATCCACAGGTGAATATTAAATATCTTGTTTCTTGGCGTTGCAAACATCACGCGAAAATGATCGTAACCTTGGCTGAAGATCGGCGAATGTCGGGGGAACGTCACGCACGATCATACAACCGGCGGAACGACCGTCGATGTTTAATAATATACGGTGTACGACACGCGTCCCCTAATACTGGCGTACTCGCTCACATCCGCCGCCTTTCATTATTTCGTGAATGGACATCCTGTCAATTTGGAAACGGAGCTCTGAATGAGAAACAGTATGTCTTCGACACGCATCCCTTGCCGTTCTCCGGTTCCATTCTTCGTTTCCCAATGAAAGATTCTCCACCGAAATGTAAGAAACGATGGAAAACTCGCAGGAAATCGAAAGGGTTTGAAGAAATAATGGAACCTTGCCTCATTCGAACCAAACACGCAATTTTGTAGTATTCATTAAGAAACAAGGTAATTTTTGGTAAGATGGTGCAAACTCATTTTGGATTGTCAAATATCTACATTTTCAATTGCTTTTAGAGGTACACTGTATCTTGCACGAAGGTTTATTTAACTATTCTTCTCACAAGTATTTACAATTCTCCATGTATGTGTTTATAAGTAATTTATATATATTTATATTTATTATATTTCCTTACATATATTTGTGTTTTCTTAGGCGTTAATGATACTTTTAATCTAATAGTTCTAAACAAAATTGGACCATCCCTTACTGTGCGAACTGTTGACAGTACGATTTCCGTTGTATTTACAGTTTTCCTTTATCTAGGCGTTTTCTAGCTTTCCGGTAATTTAAAATGTTCGCGATACCTATGTGTAATTTCGGAGCGAATAAGTTAAGGGAAAAAATTATGGATCATGGATCATCTATAGTTTTTCAATTTTCTGTTTCTTTGACTAAGCGTGAGTCACCAGGCGTCCTTCGAGCAACCCTCTTATTGAAGACCTTCTTCTCTCGCGATCCGACCTTCACAGAGTAGAAACGCGTTTTCGTAGTGCAGTTATCGAATAAAATGTTCTTGCTCTATAATGTGTGAGTTAATAAATTAAACCAAATCCAAAGCATATCCCAATAACCTGCACACCGCTGCAGAGATTGTCGAGCGTCGTCTCGAGTCCGATGAAAATCGTAGGATCGATCGATTTGCCGGTTTACGGAACCGAGACCGTGGTTTCGGTTGAATCAATCCCGAGAGCAATTTCTCCCGGTAGACCTGAGAGCTTCGCGAGCTCGTTCGTCGTATAATCGCGCGTGAAATCGCGCAGCGATCGATTTCCGGTCCAGTTCCGGCGTGGTCGTTGCGAGATTTTCGAAAGTGATTTTTATTATACCCCCGGTGATTTGCTTGTGCCGACGTCGTGCCCGTTCCCCTCTCCCCCACCTGGTTTGCCGAGAGAATTCGGGTTGAACGGCGATCCGTGGAAAAAATGCGGTCACGGATCATAACGCGAAGAAGCCGCATTACGGACGAGCAGAGATCGGGGCCGTGTAACGCAATATCGTCGGATTTGAATGCAACGCGCCGCGGACGCAACGGGACGAGGAGATATCGATCGCGATTTATCGATCGACGGATGGCATGGTGGACGCGGAGTTGTTTGATGGAGGTTTGGGAAAGTTTATAAATGGGATCGCGAAAGGTTTCATTCGGTTCGAATTCTTTTGGGCAAAGGAAGCTTGAGCTTTTGAGAAATTAGAAGCACTTCGATGTTGTAAAAGAATGTACTTTTTCGTGGTTGCCTGCTAATAGTAGGATTTTTATTCTAGACGTTTGTTGTGAAGGTCATGTAGGCGAAAGTCCTAGGTAATTGATGGTTTAGCATACAAGTTGAAACAAAGTTGAATATCTAACTTTACAAATTTTTAAATCTTAATGGAATAATTTGTCGCTTTTTATTGTACCTAATAAGGTGTTTGCCCACTTCTACCATGGATTAACTGTTGACTACTTATTCGTCTTTTAGAAATATGGGCGAAAGCTCTAGGTAGTTCTTCTTTTAGAGATACGGGCGAAAGACCTAGGTGTTCCATGGATCGCTATTCAACCCAAAACGACGCTAAACGCGAGCAACGAGCGCCGTTCATTCCCGCGGGCTGGATTACGAAGATTTATCGGCGGCGCCGTGAGAAGAAAGTAATTCAATATTTCCGCTTTTCCCGTTGCCGTCTGTTCGTATCTCTTTGTTATGTTGGCCGTATTATGCAAGCGAGATTCAGCGAGATAACAAGGCCGTGAGAAAAATCGCTTGGCCATCGTTTTTACCGCGCAATCTCGCGGAACATCAGGGACTGCGACGCATCAACTCGGACAATTTAGAATTATCTCTAATACCGCCGCCAGTGTCGTAAATAAAGCAAATTACTGCACGCCCCTTGGTAAACCTTCAGGGAAGGTGTCCCTGGATAATACTGACTCTGATACTGTTCCCAGCGTCTTTACCTTCCGTTTTACCATTTAATTATCATTTCTCACTTTCTATACGTAAAAATGACTACGACAAATATCGAGACATGCAAGTTATCAGCAGACCATGATAAAACTTGTAACACGGAAAGAAGGATTGAAAAGAATCGTCACTGATATGGCGTATCAACGATTTACGCGTCGTCATCTTCCGATTCCATCGTTTCCACATGGTCCCTGTTGGAATCCAAATACTTTGATATTGAATAAATTACTTTAAAAAAGATATTTTCATTCAATTTCGAAAATCTTTACAGGCATTTTACAAATATAATAATATTCACCTTACAGGGCAAGATTCTGGAAATCTATCGCAAACCTAGGGAAGGTCTTCCTTACCAGAGGTTCAATACCTACAGATATTGACAGACACAAATAGCACCGAAAGGATGAAATTATCAAAAGACTAGTCGATGAAGGATCGTTTGAACAGGGCGAACGTTCGAGTACACGAAGGGCCGTCTAGAGGAAAGGGACGACGGGAACTGCGGCAATGAACCTAAAGGACGCGGTTCCTGACTGCATGAGAAACTCCCAGGACGTTTCTTTCCATTATTCTGAGCGCAACGAGGTATCACTCCCAACTGGTTGGACCTTGAACCCTCCGCAGAGTCCACGGAGAGTCGCCCGGTCGCCTGACGATCGCATGCGAATGCGTTCGCCGTGAGGATACACCTGCGCCCCGCGAAGGTGGGCCCGCATTCGTTTCGCCGTTGCGTTGCATACGCGTGGTGTGCGATGAGGGACCACGACCACGCGCGAATCAGCTCGGAGGAAGGCGGGAAACGTCGTGCGACGCATTTTATCGAACGAATCGAGTCTATTAGCGTTGGCAAACAGAAAAAACAAAGTAAATACGAAGATATAAATAGCATAGAGAGTAGTAATCAAAGGTTAGTAATAGAAGAATGAAGTAAAAGTGGAAGAAACTCAAAGATTATTCTAAATCAAGGAAAATCGGCGCATTACGCGTAGGATAGAAGACGGTTAGAAGTGAAATAACGAAGGATCTTCTAAAGCACGGAAACTATAAGTATCAATCA